AAAACTCTCCGAGCATTATTATTTTGAAATAATAGTTTTTGCGAATCTTTAAAAAAATTGTTCTTTTTTTAAGTCTTCGAAGCATGGTTTTTTATGTGTAAATTTTATGGAGAGTCTAGCAGGGCTTTAGTAATTTTTTGAAGACCTTCGGAAGATCATGTAGAAACCCATATAGTAATAACTGCATCAAATTACTTCACGCTACACATGAAAGGTCACGTTTATTTTCCATGGGAACATCTATATCAAACCACGCCCATAGATCTTCATTAATTTCGTTGATCATCCATCTATTTTTTCTTTCTTTATTTATTTTAACACTTTTGATTTTTTTTCTGTTTCTTCTTATATTTTTATTAATTATGAATAACCAAGAAAACGTCAATAATTTTGATTGTTTTGAAATCAAAAGTTGTCAGAAAAAAACCAGTTCCATAAAAATCCCTATAAAATGTCAGTATAAGTTATAGTTTAAAAACCACAGAAAAAACTAACAACTGGTGCAGACAAAATTTAAATAAATTAGTAAACCCGACTAGTTTCATTTATAATAATAAATAAATTTTAAAAGAAAAAATTTAAACAGCCGCAGCACGTTTTGTGTTTTTATGTGTGTGTGCTTGTGCGTGTGTTCAACCTAAAAAAACATTATTACCATTTATTGAAAGATCAACAGCAAATGGAGAGCATCATCAAGGTTAGGCGAAGCAAGGTGTTGTCGTCTTCGTATTATTTTATTTGAATTACTGTTTTGTTTTTAGGTTCGAATTTCCGTAATAACATTTTATTGACATGGTTGATGATGATGATGATGATGTTAAAGAAACACAAATGACACCAAGACATGGCAGGCCCAAGAATATGAAGCATAAATATTATCATACTGATAAATATTATGATATTCGGAAAAAAAATAAAAACATTAAATTAAAACAAGACCATTTTTTTGTATGTCTAATTTTTTCGTGTAATGGAAATTTACCCTCCAATGTTTTTTTGCGCATTTTTTGCAAATTTGACGTCATTGGTTTTTGAAATGTGTGTAGGCCTTTGTTTGAAGGGGACTTCCCCAGTATTAAATTTAAATAAATTAGTAAAGCCTATAATATGTTGCTATGAAAAAAATAATAATTAACAAATAATATGTTACAAAGAAGACAACGAGATAATTCTGCTTTGGTGTTTCTTTTGGAATATTATTTTTTTGGGATGGTCATTAGATCGAGAAATACACATATTTTTAATTATTTATTTATTTTTATTGGCGGAATGAAATAGATAGATTTATTTCTCTCTACGTTCAAAAAATCTTTTAATTAAACGTTTTTTATTTTTTGTTCGATCCGATAAGCATTATAGAAACAACTTGTCAATTAAAATATATGGGGTAAATAAATCCATTATTTGTATATGAACTCTAGGACTCTATTCCAACTATATAGTTTCACTCACAATTAAAATTGTACCAAATTTAGTACAAAGTAGTACCAATTTCCAAAACTTCCTACATACTCCAATCCTACACATCCACAGTGTTCATAAATCAAAAGTTCAAGATTCCAACTCTTTCGGTTCACCCACAATTTAAATTGTACCAAATTTAGTACAAAATAGTACGAATTTCCAGAACCTCTTTCTTACCCCAAACCAACATCCCCACAGTGATCCAAAATCCAAGTTTCAGGATTCCAACAATATCCGTTCACCCACAAATCAAATTGTACAAAATTTAGTACACAATAGTATCAATTTCCAAAACTTCCTACATACCCCAATCCTACACCTCCACAGTGATCCAAAATCAAAATTTCATGATTTCAACTCTATCACTTCACCCACAATTCAAATTGTACCAAATTTATTACACATTAGTACAGATTTCTAAAACATCTTACATATATCAATCTTACACCTCAACAGTGATCCTGGCTCCAAATTTCATGATTCTAGCTCTATTGGTTCACATAAAATTCAAATTGTACCAAATTTAGTACCATTTAGTACCCATAAGTATTATTTTCGTAAACTGAATACTGACCCCAATCCCACACCCCTACAGTGATCCTGACTCCAAATTTCATTGTTCCAGCTCTATAGGATCACCCAAATCCAAACTGTACCGATTATAGTACGATTTAGTACTTTTCATACACATAAGTAACAAATTTCCAAAACTACGTTCATATCCCAATCCTACACTCAGAGGGTAATTTTAATTTCAAATTCCAGGATTCCAGCTCGATTTGTACCTCCAAATCAAAGTTGTTCCAAATATAGTACCATATAGTACTTTTCGTACACATGAGTACACGCTTTCCAAACTCTCCTCATATCGACCCTAATTCTCAACCTTAATTTGCATTCCAAATTTCAAGTTTTTAACTCAATCCATTCACATGCTACGAAATTGTACCAAATTTAGTACATTTCAGTACTTTTCCGATACTTATAGTTCGAATTTCCAAAAAGTCCTTTGCTACATCTATTCTACACTCCATCAGTGACCCTCAATCCAAATTTCAGATTTCTAGCTCTACTGCTTCGCCAAATACAAATGATACCATATTTAGTACTTTTCGTACGGTTCTGGTACGAATTTCCAAAAACCCAGCCTTATCGGTCACCTTTGGACCAAGGGTGATCCTCACCCAAAATTTCAAGATTCTAGCTTCAGCCGTTTCGTCTGGGCGGTTTGATGTTAATGGTCCAGCCAAATACCCAATTTTTGTCCGATTGTGATAAAAATCTGTACAAAGTACAAAATTGAGCCTAGAATTGGGTTTATTGGATTTTGTTGAAATCGTTTTCATCCTACAGATATCCAAAGATTTTCCGCTGCCAATGAATTATGCACAGCAAACATAGGTTGACGTGTCTCAAGTTTTGTTGAAATCAAATTTAGCTATAGCTGTCATATATATCCTTAGAAGCATCTCTTGTATATACCCAAGGATGTGAGTGGTATCCTATAGTCGGTCCGACTGACGTTTGTACTTTCCTGGTAATCGGTTTTGATTTGACATTGTGAAAGAAGCTTTGAAAACCTAATTACATTTGAGCTGGAAATTCTGCAGAGAAAATCCAATACACATTTTCAAAATACCAATATGTCCCCCCTCAATTCTGTGCCTTTAAAATTATCTCGATTCTACAACATACGAAACATACGTATCAGGTATTATTCCAAACCCCGCATTGACGTATTATTAAAATTAATTATAATTTATAAAAATAAAAAAACAGAGTACAACTCCATTCAATTGATTGACAGGGTACTTCACCCATTATCGGGTAATATATTATATGTTGTTTTGTTAACTTCTAATGAACTATGAAAACAACAACAAAAATAGTAGAGCGTTGTACTCAAATGTAAATCAAATCGTAGGGAGAATTTAAACAAAAAAAATCCCCGTGCCATCATTACAAAATTAATTATTCCGGGAAAACAAAGGAATATTGAACAAAAAACAGAGAAGTTCAAACATCGGCACCTGCATGATTTGAGTTTACAAATATTTTTCTGCGATCCCAGCAAGTTGTGGATTTTTAAATAAATATTTATTTAGATCACATAAAGGCAAGGATTGAAAATTATATATATTTTTTATTGAGATCGCAACAAGATGGAGGTGTAGATATTTTTAAAATCAAATTTGCACATGCCAAGCAAGCATGCATTTCTGAGCTCCCAGACATATTTTCAGAGTCGTGGATTTTTTCAAAAATATTTCTTTGGGATCCAAGCAAAAAATATTTTGTTATTACCCCAGGAAGATTTGAATTCTTTAAAAATATTTTTCTGAAATCCCAGAATAGTTTCAAATTTTTCGAATCATTTTTCCGAGATTCCAGCATTATTTTTAAATATTTTTTAGTAATAAAAATATTTGTCTGCGATCCCATCAAGACAAAACTTCTATTATAAAATATATTTCCCAGTAAGGCGTGGATTTTAAAATATAATTTTATATTTAAATATCCACGAGGCGAGAATATATTTAAAAAATATTCTTCTGAGATCCTAGCAAGGTGATAATATTTTTTTAGAATATTTTTCTGTGATCCCAGCAAAAGCGTGGATTATTTTAAATAATTTTCTGAGATCCCAGCAAGTTGTGGATTTAAAAAAAAATATTTATTTAGATCACATAAAGGCAAGGATTGAAAAATATATTTTTTTACTGAGATCGCAACAAGATGGAGGTGTATATATTTTTAATTAATTTCTGAGCTCCCAGACATATTTTCAGAGTCGTGGATTTTTTCAAAAATATTTCTTTGGGATCCAAGCAAGTTGTTTAAAAATATTTTGCTATTACCCCAGCAAGAATTGAATTCTTTAAAAATATTTTTCTGAAATCCCAGAATAGTTTTAATTTTTCGAATCATTTTCCGAGATTCCAGCATTGTTTTTAAATATTTTCTAGTAATAAAAATATTTCTTTGCGATCCCAGCAAGGCAAAACTCCTAGAAAAAAATATTATTCTGATATCCTAGTAAGGCGTGGATTCTTTCTTCTGAGATCCGAGCAAGGTGAGAATATTTTTTTAGAACATTTTTCTGTGATCCCAGCAAAGGCGTGAATTATTTTAAATAATTTTCTGAGATCCCAGCAAGGCGAAAATATAAAAAACAATTCTTATATTCCATTATGGCGTTTTTCTTATATCCCAGCAACGTGAAATATATTTTTTAATTTTTTTCTGTGATCCTGAGAATTGAGAATATTAAAAAAACTGAAATTCAAGCAAGGGGTGGATGTTTTCAATATTTTTCTTTGATCCCAGCAATGCGAGGGTTTTTAATATTTCTCCGAGATTTTTATTTGAACCCAGCAATGCGTAGATTTTTTAATATTCTGAGATCCCAGTAAGCGTTGGTTTATTATAATATTCTTTTAAAATGTACTTAAAAAGTGTATTTTTAAAATCTTATCGAAGTCTTGATTTTACACTCAAAGTGTCCCATTATTATAAGTGACCTATTCTGCACTTACCTGCATTATGGGATACGTATGCCGTCCTTTCCCCAGACGTTCAATTATCACCATTTTCTCGGTATCGGCGATGACAGCTGCAATATTAGATGAGGCCAAAATTGGCCGAGCCGGAGCTTCGATGGGTACGAAATTCTTGTTGCGTTCGGCAAAGTGACGATCAAACGAATTGCGACGATCACTTTGTGAACGATGATAGTGATGGCGATTATTGTTGTGATTGTTGGACGACGACGACGAAGAGGAGCCCCCTGATCGTTGTGTTAGATCACCATTTGAGGAATAACGCGATGAATTGACATAGGATTTGGATTTACGATATTGTTTGGGATTCAAGTGATGTCCTATGGTGTTGCAATTATTTTGGTCCATGTATTCGTTGCCGTTGCTCACAGCCAATGCTGTGGGTTTTTGACATTTGGCACAGGATTTGGTTAGGGCTGCAGTTAAGAGATCGGCAGGGCTAGGCTGTTTTGATTTGTCTTTTTGCACTTCGCCTCCTCCTCCTCCTCCGGATTTTTGTACATTGGGATTTTGATTTTCATTTGTGACATTCTTTTGGGAATTTTTCGAATTCCTGCGGGGCAGCGGCAGATTATCATTGAAGGCGGCCAAGGGTTGAGGTTTGTTGTAGGTCTTCTTGGAGTTGCCACCCACGGTCTGGGCATAACTGTGTGAGGAGTTACGATATGACGTGGATTTGACGTATTTCCCCGCCTTGCCACCGGGATTGGTATTTTCCGAATTACTCTGCTGCTGTTGTTGTTGTTTGTTTTTGTTGGACTTCTGTCCCGAATTTTTAGAATTTTGATTAGATTTATTTTGTGATTTATTGTTATTGGCGCTGATATTATTATTACTGTTATTGTTGTTGTTATTGACACTGTTGCGACCTTTGTTATTGTTAGAGTTGTTGCCGTTTTTATTGTTGTTGTTGCTTTGATTCTTCTGTTGCTGCTGCTGTTGTTGATTTTTGGCCTGTTTGGGGGTCTGTGTAACTGATTGGGATGTTGGTGTTGTTGTTGATGCAGGTGTGGTCACTGTTTGTTGTCCATTCTGTGTCTTTTGTCCCAATTGTTTTGACGTTGTGGAATTTCCATTGGCTTCAATTTGTGTCGATTTCTGTGCCTGATTTGTGTTTTCATTTGACGCCGATTTTGCTGCAACATTTTCATTTTGTTGCTGTGACTGTTGCTTCAGCTTCATTTTCGGCGGTTTATTACCACTACTACTACTACTATTCACCATAATTCTTGAGTTTTATTTTCCGCGTAACAGGAAAATAACAGAATTTTGTTTAAATATTTTTTTTCTCGATTGCAAATTGGTGATGATTTATTTTGGCGATTGGTTTGCTTTCTTTCAAATTTTTGACGATGCAACTGTTGGAAGATCGAAGAAAACCGATGACAGGTAGCAGCAGGAGGAAGTAACATGAAAAGAAATTAATTAAAAAAAACTATTATATATCATATTTATAATTTTCCACAATTATTTTGTTATCTTATCAAATTACTTTCCTGAAGTTATATATCAAAGACAAAAGGGGAAAAAAGAATACACAACATCTCAATTATTTGTTTAGATGTATTTTATTAATAGAAATTGAATCATTTGAATCGAAAAATGAAATAAAAAATAGACTAAAAAAATTATTAATAAGAAAAAATAAAAAATAGCGGAAGTCAATTTTGAAAATTTATTCATATAATAATATGTATTAAAAATTATTTCGCAAAGCTACAATATAATTTCTAATACCCAGCAGAGCATCGATATTTTTAAAATGCTGTTCTATAAAATGCTGTTATTTTATAAATATTTTCCTGAGATCCCAATATGGATATTTTTAAATATAATATTTTGAGCTCCCAGCAAGCACTGAATATTTTTCGGGGATCGAAACAAAGCGTTTATATTTTCAAAAAACAAAATATTTTTTGTGAGATCCCAGTAAAATGTGGATATTTTCGGAAATTTCAAGAAGCTAGCATATAAAACATTTTCTCTGAGCTCCCAGCAAGGGCTGATTATTTTCTTAGACCCTACCTAGACGTAATATTTTCCACAGAGAAGCTTAGATATTTTTCTGATATCCCAGCGGGACTGAATTAAAAAAAAATACTTTTCTGAGACAACAAGGCGTGGAGTTTCCATCAAGACGCGTTTCCAATAATGCGTAGTTATTTTTAATATAATGTTTTCCTGACGAGCGGATATTTTTCTGAGATCCCAGGAAGACGTGCATATTTTAAAAGAAACACATTTCTGAACTCCCTGCAAGGGATGACTATTTTCGGAGATTCCAATAAGTGAAATGTTGATTTTTCTGAGATCCCTCAGCAGGGCGTAAAAATTGGTTTAAAATTTTTCTGAGGCGTGAATTTTTAATATTTTTCTGAGATCCCAGCAAGGAGTGATTTTTTTATTTGTCTGAGATCCCAGCAAAGCGGGGATTTTTTTTAATATGTTTCTGAGAATCTGTCAATTTTTAGTATTTCAAAAATATTTTTTTAAGGTCCCGCCAAGGAGTGAATATTTATAAAATAAGTTCTTGAGATCCCAGCAAAAATGTAATATTTTTCTGAGATCCCAACAAGACTGGGGTATTGTTAAATTGTGTTTTTCTAAGATCAAAGAAATGTGTGAATATTTTTTAGAAATTTCAGGAAGGCGTAGATGGATCCCAGCTAGGCGTAATTTTTCTGAGATCCCAAGCGTGGAATATGTTTCTGATAATATAGTAATTCCAATATGGATATTTATTTGAGATCCCTGCAAGAATTTTTTGTTTTTCTAACATAACAACAAGATTGAAAAATATTTTTCTGGGATCCCAGGAAAACGTGTATATTTCTTTGAGATTTCAGAAAAATGTATATTCTGAGATCCCAGTAAGGCGTGGAACTCCTTAAATATGTTCCTGAGAATCTCACAATTCTAGTATTTAAAAATAATATATTATTTTACGATCCCACCAAGAGAGCTTTTCTGAAATCCCAACAATATTGAACATATTTTTCAGAGATCTCAGTAAGGCGTATATGGTTTAAAAATATATTTCTGAGATCCCTAAAACTTTTTCTCAGATCCCAGCAAGGCTTGGAATTTGTTTAAATATTTTTCTGAGATCCCAAGGTGTGGATTTTTTAAGTACTTTTCTGACATCCCTGCAAGAATTTGTTATTTTTCTAACATAACAACAAGATTGAAAAATATTTGTCTGGGATCCCAGAGAGACTTGTATATTTCTCTGAGATTTCAGAAAAATATATATTCTAAGATCCCAGCAAGCCGAAGATAGTTCTATGTTTTTCTTACATCATAGCAAGGCATGAATATTATTTTTTTAAATAAATAATATTTTTCAAAAATGATTTTCTGAGCTCCCAGGAAAGAAAGTAGAAAATAGTTTTCTGAAATTTGGTCTGTTCCTGTACTTTGAGTACAGGTATTTTTTCAAATTTAAAAAAAAATCGATAACTATTAACAAAAGATTCTTGAGGGTTATGGAACGAAGCACATATTACGCTTTCTAGATTTACTCTCTACTTCTGTGATCCTAGTGAGCCATAAATATATTTTTAAAAATTTCCTGCTGGAAATTTAGAAGAGACTTAGATTTTCTTTATAGAACGGCGATAGGTCTCCTATATGGTAAACAATGATGGGGTTTTTGGTATATCATTTAGAGTAGAGCTATATAATTTCTTTATTTTTTTGGAAAAATGTTGGAAACTCTTTAAAGAAAATCGTTCTTTTTCCTATTAGAGAAGAGCTAACTTAATAAAGATCCACTTAATAACAATATTTTACATAGAACAGAACGAGGTCTCCTTTTAAAAAATATATAGATAAAAATTCTTTATAGAAATAATAGAATACCAATTTATATGGAACATCAAATTTGTGTTCTTTATTAATTGCAACGCAATTTATAAATCCCCCTCCACCCATCTGGCAACTCTTCCTCAACTAAAAAAAACAATAACAACAAAAACTATGTCATCTACACACAACATTTCTTCTTTTTGTGTACTGTTTTTCTTTTTTTAATTTCTAATCACCCACCAACGCAATATTTTGTTTAGACAAATGTTTTCGAACCAGAAACCAAAACAAAAAATTGAAAGAAGATGGCAAATTAAAAAAAAAGTGAAGAAGAAAAAACAATAAACGTAACAATGTGCTCAAATACGAAAGAAAACGAAAACAACATCAGTTCTAAAGCAGGGAGGAAATTATCTGCTTTGCTGTTGTTATTGTTGGCACAAGGTATGTTGTTATTTTTTTATCGGAATAATTTCCTCAACAACAAGTGAAGCCCGGGGTACATTCTGAAGACAACATTTCCAAAAAAAATGTTATTATTTAATAATCGGAAGAAATGCAGAAAGAAAACAAAAAAATGAACTTGAAAAATATGCACCTTAAATAAGAGGTGTTGTCAATTTCAAATACGATTCTTCAAAAAAAAAAATTTGTTAAAAAATCGGACCGGAATATGGTATTCAAAGAAAAATTCCACAGATAAATGCTGAGAAGGTTTTTTCTGCATGCCGTTAATAATGAAAAACAAGATCAGTCAAAAGTCATAGCCTTTTATGTACTTTTTCATAACCAAATCCAAAACGATCTGCCCTATGTCCTCGATAACCCCCACGAATCAGCTAATTCTGACCATAAACATGTAAAAATATCGTTAGGTATACCCCCCACCTACATTGTCTTATATTGAAAATTTTCTTGTGTATTCCGATAAGTTAAATTATAGGCGCGTCGATGCGGAAATTCGGAATATGAAAAAGGTTCGGAACATATTTAGGATCCGAACCATTCTCAAAACTTGGAAACATCTTGAAAATTGTTTAAAAATATTTTTGACACCCAATGAAAACCTGAAAAATCATACCAAAAAAACCTAGAACAATGAGTAGTACCATTATATGGAGGCTACCCAGAAACTTTGGCAAATATTGATAATTTGGAAGGATGGATTACGGCCCATTTCATTGAAACACGTGCCCAATCTCGCCAAAATACTGAAATGTGGAATGTAGCGTAATATGGGGACTAAACAAATAAGACCAAGACCAACATTCATGGTTTTTCGTAGGAAAAACAAAACACAAAATTTTCCGTGGTGGTATCTCCGGAACTGTTTAACATCTACCTCTCTGGAATTCCACGACCATTGGACGACATAAAGATCGTAACATATGTAAATGATTGTACGATTATGACGTCAGGATGATGATGACATTTGCGTGAGGCTGAACCACTACCTCGTGGATATCACAGACTTTTTCCGGTCAAGGAATATGGAAATATCCGTCACTTTCTGAGTCGATTTATGCATGTCCGTCCGTCTGTCCGTCGGTCCGTTGGTGTTAAATTGTAAACAAAGTACAGGTCGCATTTATGATCCGATTTGGATAAAATTTGGCACAGCTCACCTATTTGGCCCAAGGACGAATTGGGAAAAATCGGTTCAGATTTAGATATAGCTCCCATATATATTTCCGTCCGATTTATGGTAAATGGTGTACCAAAGTCCCTATATATCTTTCGATTTACACAAAATTTGTTATAGCCTACTAAATAAAGTCTAGAATGATGTGTGCAAAGTTTCGTGCAAATCGGTTCAGATTTAGATATAGCTCCCATATATAGCTTCGCCCGATTTTAGGTAAGTAGTCCACGAAAGTCCCTGGAAATCCTTTAAGTTGCACGAAATTTGGCACAGAGTAATGAATAAGGGCTAGAATGATGTCTGCCAAGTTTTGTGAAAATCGGTTAAGATTTAACCGGCATAATTTGGCATAGCGTACTGAATTAAGTCTAGAATGATGTGTGCAAAGTTTCGTAAAAATCGTTTCAGATTTAGATATAACTCCCATATATATGTTCGTCCGATTTTATGTAACTGGTGCACCAAAGTCCCTATATATACCTTTCGATTTGCATGAATTTTGGTATAGGGTTGCTAAGCTTCGTGAAAAGATCCATAGCAAAGCCGATTGACACAACGTACTGATGTAATATAAATTAGTCTCTGACAAGTTTCCCTGAAATCGGTTCAGATATAGATAATGTAACAAACACGCGTCGTCTGTTAGGATACATATGTAGAATATACCCAAAGTGGTGAAGGGTATCATATAGTCGGCCCAGTCCGACTTTACTACTTTCCTTACTGGTTTTATTTGTATTCTTGTGATGTCTAATGATGTAATAATTTTTATTGT